CTACTACTACTACTACTACTACTACTACTACTACTACTACTATTCTACTACTACTACTACTACTACTACTACTACTACTACTACTACTACTACTACTACTACTACTACTACTACTACTACTATACCTACTACTACTACTACTACTACTACTACTACTACTACTACTACTACTAACCCTCTCTCCTCCTCCTCCTCCTCCTTCTCCTCCTCTCCTATCTTCCTCCTCTCCTCCTCTCTTCTCTCCTCCTCCTCCTCCTCCTCTTTCCTCCTCCTCCACCCTTCTCCTCCCCTCCTCCTCCTCCTCTCCTCCTCCTCCTCCTCTCCTCTCCTCCTCCTCCTCCTCTCCTCCTCCTCCTCCTCCTCCTCCTCCTCTCTCCTCCTCTCTCCCTCCCTCCTCCCTCCTCCCCTCCTCCTCCCTCCTCGCCCTCCTCCCTCCTCCCTCCTCCACCTCTCCTCCTCCTCCTCGTCTCTCCTACTCCTCCTCCTCCTCATACTCCTCCTCCTCCTCATCATCCTCCTCCTCCTCCCTCCTCCCCTCTTTCTCCTCCTCTCTCCTCTCTCCTGCTCCTCTCTCTCCTCCTAGTCCTCCTCCTCCTCATCCTCCTCCTCCTCCTCCTCCTCCTCCTCCTCCTCTTACTCCTCCTCCTCCTCCCCCCAAGTGCAAGCATCGTTCGGGCTGTTGTGGCAATGGTGAGGAGTGGTTCGAGCAGGGCCATCAAGAATCTACCTCGCCTGCCGCCCACAGCCGCTTCTACTGCGAGGCACAGAATGTTCAATGCGTGTGGTGAGCCCGCAAGGCACCTGAGCTGCGCCGATACCGAGTGACTTGTGCCAATTGGCTAGAATCTGAAGATTATTCTCATGTGACCTCCAGCCCATGGCAGGAACGAAAACATGAGAAACAAATATTGAAGGGCACATCCTCGAGCCATTGAATGCGTCTGGATGTGGTTCTCAACCTGACAGAAGCGGTTCCTGCTTGATGAAAGGGGAGGGGGCGGCAATACGTGATTCATGGCATCACTTGTCCTCGCCAGCGGGCCTTCAAGGACGATCGGCACTGGCATCGTTGGGCATCTTGCTTCACGACTCTAGCACTGTCTGTTCGATGAGTGACTTTGGTAAATGATAGGTTCTTGCACGCTACAGGCTCAGACGCGCATGTACGGTACATCGGTCACGATGCGCCCACGATGCCCCGGCAACCGGGCGCATCGCAGAGTGCTGCACAACCGGCCGACGGGTGCAGTCCAGAGCTGGATCACCACATTTGCTGCGGTCGCGCAGCAGACCCTGTCGGCCCCGGTGCAGAACAAAATACTCCTGAGAGGAGTGTGCATGGCACGGAACGGCCTGCGCACGGGGAAGCACGCGCTCACCTCTTGACGCGAGAAGCCGCAAGAACCGACGGCTGGCCAGCACGGAAAGCGTGCACGCGTGTCGCCGTCCCCACTGGTCTCTACCAGACATGTGCCGACGTACTGCCACGCTGTCCCACGGAGGCCAAGAGGAAGGACTGGCGTAGACGGAATTACCCTTCAGTGGAGGAGACGTATTTCGGGCCAAGGTAAGCGCTCGTCGACGTCATGGCCTTGACAGACTTCTTGATCTCTCCTGACAAGAACTCCCTGACGTCGATTAAGTCCTTGAGGACAACCGACTGGCCGCCACGGAACCTCGCGACTGTGGCCATAAACTCATTAAAACTGAGCCGATCGCGGCCTTTGAAGATGTAGTCTGCGAAATCCACCAGCGCGATCACGTCAACGTCGACTGAGGACAAGGCACGCACTGCCTCTTCAGACTCAAGAATTTTGATGAACTCATGCTCTGAGATCATACCATCGCCGTCATAATCCAAGTCTGGTAGTATACCCCTGATGTTTTCGCGCACCTTGTCCAGCATGTGGGCCTCCCTCTCGCACTCCGCGGTGCTCCCGATCAACTCACACAGCCGCCGACCCCTGGGGTCTCGAGGCGTGCGAGATTCACCCCACCCCCTGTAATTCCCAAATTGTAAGTTTGAGGGGAGGGGGCTCGCCTAGGCTCACCCCAGGCCAAGCGAGCCTGGGCTTTTTTTCAGCCCACAAAGGTCTGCAGATGAGCCAAGAGGGTCCCCGGAGTTCCCCAAGACGGTCTAAGACAGCTCCTGGTCGCCGACAGTTGGCCCCAAGACAGCCATTATGGCCTCAAGGCGACCGACGATGCCCCCAAGACGGCCCAAGAGGCCTCCATGAGACCTTCCACTAGGGGCCCAAGAAACGAAAATCAACGATTGCATGCTATGATTCACAGATTTTCGGGTTCTCGCTTTTTCGGCGTCTCGACGCTCTCAGACGGCCCACGAGGCCCCCGAGATCCCTCCCAGACTGCCCACGACACCTCCAAGCGTGCCCCAGGACGACCCAAGGGGGCGCCAAGACGGCCCAAGAGGCGCCCAAGAGGCCTCCCAAACAGCCCCAACTGGATGCCTAGAGAGGCAGCTCGAACGACTACTTCTAGCCTTCGGCCCCGAGATTGCTTCTCAAGAGCCTTGCAGAGGCCCACAATGCGCCCCCAACAGGCCCCAATAGGTCCCCCAGAAGCCTCTACCTGTCAGAGTCCCAAATCGTCCGCAGAGGCCCCAACCCTAGGCCCCCAAGCTGCTTCCACCCCGCCTCCCAGACATCGTCAAGCCTCCCAGCGTCAGAATGCGTTCTCGCCAGTTTTGTTCTACTGTCGGGGACATATGACGGTTCAAAAAAGCCCCTCGATAGGCCCAAGAGAGCCACAAGGCAGCCCCGAGAGACTTCCAAGACGGCCTCCGAAGGGTCCAGACGGCGCAAGAGCGCCCCAAGACGGCCCACAAAGACCCCAAAAGACACCAAGAGGCCCATACGAATCCCGCACGAGGCTCTCAGGGGCCTCCACGAAACCTCCAAGCGGCCCGCGGGACACCTACAAACGGCCCCGAGAAACCACCAAGAACCCCAGAGGATTCTGTACGAATGGCGCGTTATTGCTATGCTCATCGGAACTCGAACTTGGCGTTGCCTTGTGCTGACACGCGGCGCATGTTCATTGCCCTCGCGAACATGCGCACGCTCGCTTCGGCGATGAAGCGGTGGGGGACGCAGCCGCCCACCGCGGCGCTGGCAGCGCCCCGCGGCGGGCAGAAAGACGCGGCAGAACAGCGCGGCAGACGAGCAAGGCAAACCACCGAACGCCCAGTCTTTACGTGCTCCCCACGTGCACCCCGCGAAGCGAAAGGAATCCACGTCTGGAGGTGACTTGCTGTGCGTAGCGTGGCTCGCGATGTTTAACATGCAACGAATCATATGTACATCACGAGCTCCCAAACAGTGCTTGCACTCAGGTGGTCTCAGTTATTGTCTACAAAAAAAAGAGGTCGTTGGACGTAGGAGGATCGAGGATCGATGGAGGGTCCAGGATCGACGAGGAGGATCGAGGATCGACGAGGAGGATCGAGGATCGACGAGGAGGATCGAGGATCGAGGATCGACGAAGGAGGTTCCCGGATCGATGGAGGGTCGGGGTTCCAGGATCGAGGATCGAGGATCGATCGGCGGTCGAAGCCCCAGGGCCGGCCGAACGACTACTCAGGGGGGCGGTGGCTCCCTGCAGCGCCGATCCGCATCTTTTAGCCCAGGAGGTGGCAAGGAAAGCCCCCAGACAGGGGGCCAGTGGAGGCCAAAGTGGACGCCCGAAACGGGTACGGAAAAGATGGGCACAATGCCCAACAGCAGATGCTGCCCCAAACCAACAGCAGCCGCTGTTGGGCAGGCGGCCTTCCGTCTCAATGAGACACAGGCCGCGGCGGCGCGGACGGCGAGTCCTGTTCAAAATGAACAGGAACTGCTGTTGGGGGGCATTGTACCCTTTCTTTCCGTCCCCATGTCGGTCGTCCCGAAAAACTGTGCTCCCCGACCGGGGATTTCAACGAACTTCACATGCTTGCATACGTTGACGTTCGGGGGCTCGCACCGGCCCAGACGGCCCCTAAGATGGCCCCAAGGCGTGTCGTAGGAGGCCCCCGGGAGGGCGCCAAGACGGTCCAAGAGGGCCCCAAGATTATCCAAAGAGAACCCCAAAACGGCCCAAGCGGCCGCCAAGACGGCTGAAGAGGATCCCAGGAGAGCACAAGGTGTCCCCCTCGCCTCCAAAGGGACCAGACGGCACAAGAGCGCCCCATCAGGCCCCCAAGAGATCCCCAAGAGGCCCCCAAGAGGCCCCGAAAAGGCCCCCAAGAGGCCCCCAGGGGCCCCGAAGAAGCCTCCAAGAGGCCCCCAAGAAGCCCCCGAACGGCCCCAAGGAACCAACAGGAGGCCCGCGGAATTGAAGACGAACGGCACGCTCTTGCCATGCTCATCGGAGGTTGAACTTTGTTGCCTGGTGCTGACTCGCGGTGAAAGCTCATTGCACTCGTGGGCATGCGCACGCTCGTCCTGGCGCTGAAGCGGGGGGGGCGCATCCGCCCCACGCGGCGCTGGCAGCGCCACGGCTCGGGCAGAACGACACGGAAGAACAGCGCGGTAGACGAGCAGGGCAAACAACTCAACGCGCACAATCTTAAAATGCTTCAGTCGTGCACCGCGCGAAGCGATACGAGTCACTCCGATGAGCATGTTGAGCACTGTCATCGACGCAACCACCAGGAATGTGACTATGAGGAAATAATACAGCAGGCCCTGTTTCAGCATGTCTTGAATGATCTGCGCCTGGTCAGCGAAGATTCCCTGAAGCAGCAGACAATTCATGGATGAGAACACAGAGCCAAAACAACCAGCATGGTCAGAACCATCCAAAAGCTCAGTGAAGATGATCGCGTAGACGTACATGATGAGCACCATGAGACAGAGCGTAGAGAATACCGATCGCAATGCCATCCAGACGCCCTTCAACAATATCCCAAACTCGGGCACGCTGCGCAACAGCCTTGCCACGCGGGCCACGCGTGTTAGCCGTAGCAACCTGAAGATGCGAAAGGCCTGCGCGTTCGACGACTGCATAGCGCGGCCTTGAGACAAGAGGTGGACACCACTGATAACCCACGTATCCCACACCATCAGCCAAACCAACACTGCGTCGAAGAGAAACCACTTCTCGCCGAGGCAATCCTTCCGGTTCTTGAACGCAAGGAACCTTACGCTGATCTCGAACACGAAATATGCACAAAACATGTTCTCCACGATCTGGAAGATAGGGTCCGCGTCGACAAGCAACTGCTTGTGATTGTAGTCGGCCTCGATGCCAATCCAGAACGTGTTCAGGATGATCATTGCGAACGTGGCCGTCTCCAATGGACGGCTCTTGGCGAGATCTGCGAAGGCACCGCCATCGTGGTACAGGTCCTGCTCCCTCGTCACGCCCTCGGAGTCCGAGAGCAGGCGCGACTTGAGTTCTTCCTTCAGGGCATCGCGGTCTGGGAAAATGCGTAGGTTCCAGCTCCGCTTGCTCATCTCCTCAGCATCGTTGAACCGATCCCTATCCCCACTGGCGTGGCCTTGGCCCCACTGGCCGACTTCCCCACCTGAGGGGGATATACGCCCGTTCCTTCGGGTTTCGCGTGGCATAACCCCCCCTAGGAGGGTGGGCTGGTGGGGCTAAGACACCATGTAAGACGAAGCCAGGATGAAGATAACATCGGATGAGGATACATCGAGAATCTCTGAGGTCCGGCGGCTCTGGAAGATGTCTCGGGCGCCGCGGCCTTCCGAGACCGTTCCGGAACGCTCCGCGAGCGCTTCTGAACGGCCTGAGCGGATTCATCCTCGTCTTAGCCCCGTCCGACCATGGCCCAGTGGGGATGGGGAGATACGGCCAGGAACTTCTGGATCGCGTGCCGCCGCGGCGGAACTCCGACGGCGCCGCTGTCCCTGGCACGCGGCTGGCGTGCCGCTCCCCTCCGCGGGGGCGGGCGGCCTCGGGAGAGGTCGGGGCGTGGACGCGCGGGGGGCCAGGCGAGAGGTAGCGCGTCGCACCGGGGCGCGGTGGACCAACAACTGGCGGAGCGACATTCGGGCGTTGGCAGGACTGGGTTTAGTGGGACCTGGTTTAGTGCTGTGCACCCGGGGGCGCCCCCCCCCCCCGTCCCATTCCACTAGCCGGAACTGCCGCAACCCGAAAAACGTCAGCCACGGCAGACCTGGTTTGGTGATTCCAATCCATATTTTGCATGGGCCTCGGGGATCAATCACTAACCGGCTCCCCTTAACCGGGGTCCTGGCTATACCCGAGACATGAGCGGCGATCAGGAAGGGGTCTTGTGCGAGATGGCATGGCGACCTTAAGCCGCGGCTTACGCTGGCCGCTAGCGCGGCGTGCTATATTGGAGACGAGGGCGCCTACGCGCGACCTTATGTGGGCAGCCTGCGAGCCAATGTCGGCGCAGACCCTGTTTTTCTGGCGTCGCTCACATGGTATCCCAAACTTCCCGGCCGCAGGTTTCAGCGATGCTGATCTCCCTGCCCCTCTCGCCCTGATTGTTTGCCTGGCTGCTGCCACTGCTCCGCTGCTTCGTGAGGGAGCCCTCCCCGAGCACGCCGCCCGGCTGCTCCGCGTTCAGGAGCGGCTCGCGCAGGCCCTCCTTAGAAGAAGAAGAAGAAGAAGAAGAAGAAGAAGGAGAAGAAGAAGAAGAAGAAGAGAAGAAGAAGAAACGCCATAAAGATAAATGTTGTGCGCTCCGCGCGGGTTTCTTGGATCTGCGCTTGACCCCCCTCCCTGGCGCGCGGAGCGCGCCAGGGGCGGCGCCGGAGTCGCCACCAAAGGGCCCCAGCGCTGATCCGAGAAATCCGCGCGGACCTCCGAGTTATGATGTTTATGTCATTGCTCGTTCCCCTACAATAGGGAACCGACCACAAGAAACCTTTCACAAAAAAACCCAACCCTGAGACCCCAGGGCGTCCATGGATTTGTGGTGTGGGAGCGTCCCGCTCTCTATCGCAGAACCATCGGAACCCAATACGAAACATCGCAGAGGCGGACTTTGGACGACAAATCGTACAGAGCCAGAAAAAATCAAAAAAAACAAATGGCAAACCAAACAATCACCAAATCGTCCCCAAAATATTGTCTTCCTCCTGCAAAGGGACAGGCCCGGTTCGACCCTGCTCCTGCAGCAGCGCCCTCCTGGCGGCTGGCCTCGTGGGCGTGCCCTGCGGGCCAGAAAATATTTAAAAAATGCAAAACAAACATAATTTTAAAAATCGTTCCCGAATCATCTTCTTCCTCCTGCAGAGGAATAGGCCCGCTTCAACCCTGCTCCTGCAGCAGCGCCCTCCCGGCGGCCGGCCTCGTCAGGAGAACCCATAATCGAATCGATAAGTCGGATCGGCAATCGAAATAAATCGTATCGGAGGAAATCGGCAACCGAGTCGGGAAAAGTCGAATCGGTGGAAATCGGCAGGCTAGTACGCGTCCAATGAGAACTCGGGACCAACATCGGAATCCCACGTCGAATCGAATCGGAATCGGAAGCCATGGAAATCGAATCGAATCGAATCGGAGAATTTCGAAACGAGCCCTGCCTCGTGGGCGCGCCCCGCGGGCTCGGCGCGGGGCCCGTCGGGCACGAGCGCGCACGGACGAACTCCGGAGCCGCGCGCAGGCCCCGCAGCGGAGGGCTCGGCAGAGGGCCGGGCGGGCCCCGGGGCGAGCGCCTCCCGTTAGGTCGCGCGTGTTCTCCTACAGGCGGGCTTTGGACGAACAATTAAACATGTACCGGAAATGCTCCAACATTCTGTTTCTTTATACACACACATATATATATATACATATATATATGTGTATATATATATATGACAAAAAAAAAAAGCCCCCAGACTACGTTTCAACTATGTTTGAGCAGTCCTCCTGTAGAGAAACACGCCCGACCTAAGGCGGGCGCCTCTCGCCGTGGCAGTGCGGCCGGAGCATGCCGCAGATCTCCAGCGAGCGCTTGGCGAGGCGCTCCTGCTCCTCGAGCAGGCCCAGGAGGGCGGAGTCCTCCATGCCGCTCTGCCTGGGGCCCCTCTCCTCGCGGCGGCCGACGGGAGCGCGGCGCTCCCCGAGGGGGCGTCGGGCCTCCGGATGGGGCTCGAGCCAAGGCTGCGGTGGCCCAGGCCCCCCCTCGCGCAGCGATGCAGGCACGCCCGAAGGCGTGTCCCAACTTTCAGCCTCTGGGGCCCTCACCGGGCCCCGGGGCCATCAACAAACAGGCTCGGGATGAACAGTGGGCCCCAGGGGAAGGGTCCAGCCCTGTCGGGGCCACGTCGTGAGGAGGAGGAGGAGGAGGAGGAGGAGGAGGAGGAGGAGCAGGAGGAGGAGGAGGAGAAGGAGGAGGAGCGCCAGTACCTCATGCGTCCATCGGTCCCACTGCACTCAACGCCTTGGGGGCTTCAGCCAGGGATAAGGCCTAGCCATTCCAGGCGGAGGCGGAAGAAGCGAGTAATTGTCAGGCATTTTCGTGAGCGCCGCTTTGAGGGCCACGAGAGATTGAGACAGATCGAAGGGCCGACCGTTCTGCCGCCCAACCAGTTCCTTGGCTATGTGGTAGATGTAAAAGCACAGGGAAGTAGCAAGCACAGCATTCTCTCGAGTTAAATCGAGCGCTGGATAATGAACTGGCAGCCCAAGTCCGAGACGTATGAGCGGACATGAGGGCACCACCGCACGAGGACGACAGATCAGATGAACAAGGTGAGGGCATCGAAGGTAAGGCTCAATACTGTCCGGATGGCGGTGGCAACCGCACACACAACACCAGCGCTCCGAGGTCACGTGCATGCGGTCCGTTGTCGTCCACCCCCCAGCGACCGTTTTCAAGTAAGGCCAACGGATCGAAGCGGGAGCCCGGAGCAGGATTTCTCGAGCCAGGGCCCACCTCTCTCGCAGTCGTGTGGGGGTGACATTAAACCAGGCCCGCACGCGACGCCCAATCAGGAGCTCTAATTTGTCGGGATAGGCTGAGCCAGAAACCGAACGCATAAAATGACCTTGCATCTTGGGCCGGCGTCCCTCCAGTGCGGCCTCGCGCACGGCGGCACGGGCACGGCTCTGGGCGAGGCGGAGCTGCGAGGCCAAGAGGGGAGGACGGCGACACGGCCCGGCGGATCTCAACTGCTCGTAGTACTGCACAATCGACTGCTTCATCTTCCAACACGGCGCACACCAAGCGTGCTGAATTATGTCCACAACTGGGAGGTGATCCACAACTCCCGAGACGAGATCAGCAGCGAGCTGGAGCCGACGGTGCAACGGACCCCAAACATTATCTAGAGTCATGGAGGCGGACCGCCACGCATTCGCCACCGCCAACGAGCATATGGCGTGAGGAGCGGGGGAGGGAGACCACGAGGCGAGGGAGAGGAGCTCCGAGAGGGCGAAGGAGTTCGGGGGGAGGAGGAGGAGGAGGAGGAGGAGGAGGAGGAGGAGGTGGAGGAGAGGGAGGAGGTGGAGAAGAGGGAGGAGGAGAGGGAGGAGGAGGAGGAGGAGGAAGAGGAGGAAGAGGAGGAAACGGAGGAGGAGGAGGACGTCTGGGACCTGGGTCGATCGACGCGACTCGTCAGGTCTATACGCGGGGGCGTGCTGACGAGGCGACGCGGCTACGTGGCGACGGGACGGCGCAACGGGTCGCAGGATCGTCGAGTTCTTTGCGCAGAGCGTCCTCCTTGATATGACACCAAGCAGGCACTCGTGGTTGCACGCGCATGCTGGTGCAATCGCAAATGCGCGCATCCGATCAGATCACCACCGTAACCGCTCCAGTGTCGAGCCGGTCGACGCCATCCGTACCCGAGCAAAAAGGATTCCCCCTACCCAGATCAGTAGTGCCGACCGAAGCGAGTGTACCTCTTCTGATTCAGCCCAGCTGCAAAAGGTAACGTGCGCATCGGCTAATCGGGGCGCGTGTTTGCAGGGGAGTCGGGATACCGCCGCGTTCACCGAACGTCTCTCGAAAAAATGCCGCGCCCACCAGGATGGAATATCTTAACGAACGCCTGGAGTTTGCTCAGGAGTTACCTCTGCGGGCCTCGAAGCCTCCGCGGAGCTACCCTCTTCCCCAAAACGCGATCTATTACATCGGCTTCAGGCCCAGGGGCCCACCACGCGAAAGAGGGGGTGAAGGAGGAAGGACGACGAGAAGGCTGATGAGGCTGAAGTCTATTTCATTTTGCTCGAGCCAATAGCTTCTGGAGCGTGCTGTTGCACAGCACCGTCGTGTTGTGTCTGGCTTCCACTCTGCGGACCTCTCGCAAGAAGCGAGCCACGCCAGCTCTGTAAACTGATCGGTCCCCCTCAGTGAGCTCATCTATAAGCTGGATGGTCTGCGCAGGGAGCTCAGACACTGAACGAGAAGTAATGCCGTGCTGGACGTGCGTCAACTTCATTCCGCGCCACTTGTCGACGTCGGTGCAGTGGCACGTGTCTGGCAAAGCTCCACTCACCTGCTCGTAAAGTAGGCACAAAGACTCCTGGTATGCTTCGACGATGCCCACAAACCATGCCTCCTCCACGTTCTGGATAGCAAGAGTGACGGACCGCTTGGGAAATGGAAAATCAATACGTCTGAGCTCGTCGCATGTCAACCGCTCTGTCTGGAAATCGATGGGCACATACTTGCAACCGGTTTTGTACACGTACCTGTCCAAGCAAGCCCGCAAGCCCGCGGCGCAAGGAAGATCCGCAGCCTGACTCACGTTGTCGGACGACAGGGTGTGATACTTGATATCTGCCCAGACGCGCACCCATTGCTCAAGCTGCTGAGGCATCAAACTCATCTCCGCTAGCCTGGAAGATGAATTGCCCTTGCCATGGTAGGTGGACCAGTGCGTGTACTGAGAGACCACGTGCTCTGGAGGGCTCCGCAGCAGCAGCACGACCCGGAAGTCCTCTCGGTTCGCGTAGCAGATGCAAGTCTCCACGGGGGTGAAGGAGCTCGCCTTGCTCTTCACAGCCCTCCGAGCGTCACGCTCCCAGGAGGCCCCGCCAGACTTTGGCACGTGCAGGTAGAACACCGGCCCGAGCGGCTTGCCCTCCGTCGCGGGCTTTATGTCCGACGGCCGCTGCGCGCCGCCCGGTTGGTCGATCTAGTTCGGACGACGCCCAACCGCGCTCCAGGCAAGCTCCATGCACGCCGCCGCGGGCGCCAGCATGCGCGAAGTGCGCATCGAGCTGGTCTGGCACACGGCTGGCCCCGTCCAACTTTTTTATAGCAGGGACCCACCGCCCCGACAGTCCTATAGGCTTACCAAGACATGATCTTAGAGCAGATGTTCCAATAACCGAAACAATGTTCGTATAATCTGACGCAGCTTGATCATATTATCAGCCAGAACCGTTCTGAAAACATTTCGTGCAAGCCACGAACAGTTATTAGAACATTGTCTGGTGGGCCCACAGGCAAGTCAGGGCGCTTCGCCACTGCTTGCTTGTTGTCCCTGCACAGGGCGGGCAGCGCCGACAGCCCGCTGAACGGCCTCCCCGCCGCTCGCGAGGGCGCGGCGAGTGAGGAGGGTACGGCAGCAGTGCCCGCTGCGGCAGCGCCGCTCGGCCCAACAGGCGCCGCGCCCGCCGCGCCCGCCGCCCCGGGCGGGCCGCTGACTGCTCCACCGCCCCGGGCGCCGCCCTCGCCGGACGAGGCCGCGGAGAGGGCAGAGCCGGCCGGAGCACCACCCGCGCCCGCGGCTCCGGCGCCGCCGCGAGCGCCTCCGTCGTGCGGCGCCGCCGCCGCGGCGCCCGCAGCCTGCGCGGCACCTGTGCCCCCGAGGCGCCCCCAGGCGCGGCCACCCCGCGCCTCGGCGGCCGGCGCGCCCGGCGCAGCCGAGGCCGCGATTCGCCCGGCGCCCTCCGCGCGCAGGAGGAGGCCGGGCAAGGCCGAGGCCGCGGCGGCCAGCGCGCACGCCGCGAGGCAGCCCCGCGCCGGCAGGGCCCCGCAGAGGCTCTCGCGCGCGGGCGCGGGCATGGCACCTCGAAGGCCCAGGCCCCCTCGAGTGGCGGAAAAAGCACGACGGGCGCTTTTGCTGCTGTTGTTGTTGTTGCTGCTGAACCCTCACTGCTGATGAACAATTCTTGTGGGTCCCCTCCATCCGGTGCCAAACTGTCTCCTGGGGCTCGCACCCGGCTTTGTTACCAGGGGAAGTCTTGAGGGTCAGACTTTGTTGGTTGCCATGGTTTGTAACCACATCTGCTCCCACATTCTACTCTGGCACAAGTTATCACAAATCGTGCTCTCGCGCGGAACTCCCTCACAGTTTACTGAGGGATCGCGCTCGGCCTCAAGACTTCCTTACAGCTTACTCAGGAACCTTGCCCGCGACACCCGAGAATGACGCTCTTGCACTACACGTCCTCACAACTGACTCAGGCCTCGTGCCCTCGCCCGAGGCTTCTTCGCAACCAGCACCGCCGCAGTGCCCCGCCCGCCCGACTCGCCCGCGAAGGCCCGCCCGCGCGGCCAGCCCGACGGAGCCCGCCCGGCCGACCCGCCCGACAAGGTCCGCCCCTTCGCCTCCTCGGGGCCCGCCCACCCGCCCCAGTGCCCCGCCCGACCCGCTCGCGGGGGTCCGCCCGCCCAGCCCGCCTGTGCGGGCCCGCCCGCCGACCCGCTCAGCACGACCCGCCCGACAGACCTGCCCCTCCCAAGGGTTGGGGTCGGGAGTGTGCCCCTGCAGGCGGAATCTGGACGAAAGATAGAACATAGTTCAAAGCATGCTCAGACATAGTCGAGACATGATCGAACCATCGTCCTCCTGCGATTTGGCTGCTCTTGAACATTCCTCCTGCAGAGGGGCGTGCCCGACTGAGTCCGAGGTCCGCCCGCCTGCGTGGTTGGAAGCCCCTCCCACCCGCTTTGGCACTCGGCCCGCCCGCCCCGCCCGTCAGGGACCGCCCGCCCCGCCCGCCAGTCAGTCAGGGCCAGCCTTGCCTGGCCTGGCCGTCAGCGCCCGCTCGCCAAGAGTGTGGCTCTCACCTTCTCCCCTGTGCGATGCTCTTGTCCTCATCTTCCTTCGCCTTCTCCCCTCGCCTTCTATCCTCGCCTCCTTCCTGTCCTCACCTTCCTCGCCATCTACCCTTGCGACGAAGAAGTAGGGTTCTCATCCTTCGGTTTCGATCCTCCTCCCTCCCTCCGGCCCCCCTGCTTCCTCGTTTCCTCCTCCCTCCCTCGCTTTCTCCCTGTTCCGCCCCACCGCCTCCGATTTCAAAGGCCGCGTCAACTGCACGTGGCAGGCAAGGGAGACACCGCCCAAAGGGGTACAGTCAAAGAAGAGGGCGGGTATCGAACATTTGGGGTATACCTGATGATTAGCACGGGAGCAACGAAGAGCGAACAATATCAACATGATCGTTGTTGATCTCTCACATCTGACGAACAGCTAGCTCTTGTTGATCCTCAGTGTCTGGCCACACTTGTGTCTTTCCATTGAAGGGTCCTTCCCAAGGTTCGCACCCAATCGTTGTGGAAGGGGGAGACTTGCCTACAAACTGCGATGTTGGCCCCTCCCAGCATTGCAATGAAGAATCGCACTCTCGCTCGGGAACTCGTTGCAATGTACAAAAAACCGCGCCCTGAAGAGGCACTGCCTAGCGATTTATTCGAACGCCGCGCCCTCGACACTCAGGAATAACGCTCTCGCTCTGGACTTCCTCACGATTTGCTTGGAAATCGCGCCATTGCCCGAGACTTCCTCGCGATTCATGCAGGACTGACACTTCAGCGACCCGCCCGCTCGACTCAGCCGTCAAGGCCCGCCCGCCCGACCTGCCTGTTAGGGTCCGCCTGCCCGACCCGCCAGTCTGGTTCTGCCGCTTGTGTTCCTGCTCTATCCTTCGCTTTACCCCCTTCCTGCTAATCTCTCTCTCCATCCTTCTCCCTCCCACTTGCCTCTTCCCACCGCCCTCCCTTCCCGCACTCCTCTCCTCCTGGCTGTGCAGTTTGTGTCCTGTCTCCCTCACCTTCCCGCTTTAGGGGCTGCGGCAACGACACGTGGCAGGAAAGGAAGATATACCCCAAGGGGGTACGATCGAAGACGAAGAGGGCGGTGATCGAGGATTTGGGATACACAGATTGGTCGACGTGCGAGCAACGAAAAGCAAAGAGTCTGAACCTGATTGGCTTCTCATTTCTTCCAAGGATTACAAATGATCCCATCCGGTGAATTTTTGAATTGAAATGCCACCTTCGGGGCTCGCACCACGTGTTTT